CGTGAATTGTATTAAGATGATATTTCTCGAACACTCATTCAAATAGATATTTAAATTACCTGTAACATCTTTAAGATTATATAATCATGTTATGTTGCACATTATCGGGTCGGATATAAGCAATCCTGAAGATAATAATAAAAATAATCATCGAGAACAAAAAGTTCACGTTGAAGAAAATAAATCAAAGCATTCAAATGATGTTGAACCAACATTACATCCAAATAAGATATAATGGCTTTGATTGCGAATAATAATGGACAATTAATATCGTATCAATTATGAAAATTCTTTTTTTTTTATATAGATATAACAGCTGATGTTATACATATGTGTACATTTATATGTAATCGAGATTTTTTTATTTCTTATTTTCTCTCTCTTTTCCTTAATTTATTTCGTTTTCTATATTAATAATAAAATGTCAATTGTTATCTTATAGCTGATTGTCAATCTGTTTATTTGAAACAAAACTATTATTGAGACTTATGAGTAACAGATAGATTGAACTAATTAAGAATTTATTTTATTACTTTGCTGAAATAACACTAAAATTATCAGCAAGAAACTCTCGCATTTCTCATATGATAATAATGTTAATTAATATTGCTGCTGGTACTGTCCTTATCCGAATAGGTAAAATATCACGATAAAATTCTCGTAAACCTTTATCTCGAGCAATTATTTGTACAGTATCATATACATTTTTATATTCACGAAATTTTCTTGTAGGTGTTAAAGATTGCTGTTGGATATGTTGAGCATGTTCAGTATCTTGAAGACGATTACGAACAATCTCATATGGATATGTAATGCAAGATGCCAATAATTTTGAAACACTTAATGCAAACATTGGTTGTTCTGTTGAGAGACGATGATCAGAAGTTGAATCAGCACATTTTTTTTTCTTCAGATATCCCAGAATAGAAGTTGAATACGAGATTGAAAATACTTAGAAATTAAGGAGAACTATGAGAAATCATCAGCAATCAAAAGCAACCACTAGAAATATTAGAAATTATCGAAAATCAAGCAAATCAACAGAAATCAAAGCTTTGCTTTTAATCTTATTACTGTTAATTTTTAATGACTTATAATAATTTCCATTCATTTGCAGTGGTCGAATTGTATTTGAACTTTTTAATGATATATGTCCACGTACATGCGAAAATGTTCGTTATTTATGTACAGGTAAAATGAGATTTTTTTCATTTAGAAATTTTGTTAGAATTCAAATTCTAGGAGAAAAAGGTCGTGTTTCAACATTAAATAAAAAATTATATTATAAAAAATGTCATTTTCATCGAATTGTTAGAGATGTTATGATTCAATCGGGAGAGTTTACTAAAGGTAATTTTCTTTTTAGTTTATAGAATAATCAATTAACGATTTAAAATGAAAAAGTAAAAGAAAGAAGAAAGTGAATACTGATTTTTATCTCTTTTAATCACACGAGAGAGATGAATGATAAAAAAATTAAAATACAATTTTTTTTTGTATCTATCTGATCTTGAAATTTTAGGTAATGGCACTGGTAATGAATCGATTTTTGGTGGGACATTTGATGGTAAAGACTTTCGAATTATTTTGAAAGAAAAAAATATTAGTAAAAATTTTCTAGATGAAACTTTTCAAATCAAACATGATCAATCCCAGGTCGAAAAGTACGGGCCGGTTCCGGCAGGAAAACATCGGAAGTCGCCGGAACTGGGTGGCAGTATTCCGGCCGGAAATTCTCCGTATTTTTTCCGGTAACTTTCCGCCAACTTCCTGCAGGAAACGGGAGGAAGTTGACCGGAAGTCACCGGAAAAAATACGGAGAATTTCCGGC